AGAGTCAATCTTGGATTGCAACATGCTAGCTTTCCACTTTGCAGATCCATCTGGAGTCATCCCAGTCTAGGTAAGTAGCACCACAGGCTTAACTACATCACTTTTCCTGACAGAGTTGGAACCTTTGCCTTCCTTATCAACATGATGGGGTACCTCTGCAGTACCCATAAAAACCTCCTGGGTCCCCGCGGCTGCAAGGTCTTCCTGCTCAGTAAGAACAACAGTGGTAGCCTTACTCTTGTGTTGTCCACTCGGTGCAACTGAGGCATCAGGCTGCTTTTCATATGTTTGACCAGCTGGTGGGTCTTCCATCTTTTTACCGTCATGATCCATGTTCTCCGGCCCTTTTTCCTCTGGTGCTTTATCCTCATCCATGGTAGAGTCCATGTCAATGACTTGTGGCTCACCATCAGACATATCCTTCTCCACTCTTAATTGTAGCTCATAGACAAAGTCCCCAATGACTACATCCACAAGATCTGGGATGAGATCGGGATCTAGCACGGCTACTTTCATTCTAGCTCTGCCATACTTCTTTGTAAATTTAGTATCAACTGCTCGAGAGACACCTAGAATGGAGCCAATTGTCCAAATGATAGAGAACTCTGGCAGTTCCTTTGGTAGTCCCCGAAACTGTACCCAAACCTTATCAATCTCATATTTGAAGACATCATTTTCAGCCCCTTTCTCAAAACGAATCTTTCCTTTCACTGTTTTGGTGTCCATCGGACCCCAATTCACCATGTGATTGAGCACTTCAGCAGAAGGTAAATTAGTGGTAAAGGCATCATTGCCTTTCTCCTCAATCACCCAACTGTTTCCGGGTAGTAGTTTGTCGAGTTCTACTGCCAATTGATCTGCAGTAAGAGAACCCTCCAGAACACGTACCATAGCTGATTTATCATCTGAAACTACTTTTGGATTTTCTGCAACAGGTATAAAATAGAATCCTAGACCTTGAACAGCATAACCACATGGTATAGCAGTAGAATGAAGATTCTTCAAATTTGGGCAAACTTTTTTAACATGATCCCCATAGCAAATCTCATAGCTAAGAACTGCTGTACAAGCTGAAATTGTATGCCCTTTGGTATGGCAGCGATAACAGTAGGGTTTACCCTTGCCCTTTTGATTCCCTTTTTGGGATGACTCTGGTGCATCACACTGGATCATTGCATTGTTGGAATTTGGTGGGGCAGTGGCCGGATTGAGATCAGCTGATGCCGGTGCCGTCGTGGTCGAAGATGGTGCCCCCATGGTTGGATTGGAGGCGGTGCCTAGCGCCGCCTGCAGGTTGGCTCCATTGCCTTGCACTGTAGCCGTGCCATTCCCATGCACAGGTGCCTGGCCATGCATGCCGTGTCCCTGTACTGATGCTTAGCTCCTTGGATGCGCCTGACCATGTCCGGTGGTAGTGGTCTGGCTACCCGCTTGGGGCTGTGAGTGATGGTTGGGAGGAGGCATGGGAGGCGGCACGCCGTGGTTGGGGCCAGACGGCACCGGCTGATGGTTCTGGCCAGCGTAGCCCCAGCCCCTACCATCGTTGTTGTAGTGCCAGCCGCCTCCTCGCCCTGCCCCCTGATACCCTCCATTGAAGCCACCATAGCCATGTCCACCGTGATGACCATGGCCACCGTGACCACCATGGCCACGACCTCTCCCACGCGGCGGGAATCGACCACGTCCTCCACCTCTCCCTCCGTACCCTGGATTGAAGCCAGGATCAAAGCCCGGATTGAACCTTCCTCCGCCCCGTCCGCCGAAACCCTCCTGAGCTGCCATAGGCATTCCTTCCCAAACAACGTCGGCAAAATATTTTTTTCGTTGGCTGTGTCACATGATACGGCTTAGGGATGCGCCTTGCTTCCGCGAAGGGTGAAGTTGCGGTATGCTTTGGCGGTTGCCTCTGGGGTTTCCTAGTTCCGGTTCTCGCAAACAGACTACACAAGCCCGGCGTGGGCCCAAAGAATTTTCCAGGCCCAATAGAGATTATCTTAGGAATCTCACGCAGCTCGTGAATCTTCTCGTCCGACCTTTTCCCCGTGACGCACGCGGACGTAACTACGACCGGTAGCTCAGCTGGGTTCAAGGGAGGAAAGATCGGATCAAGATTCCGCGGATTTGAATTTTCAAATTTTTTTGAACCAGGATCAGCACCTGCCGACCCTGACCTCGCTGACGTTCTTGCCGGTCGAGATGTCGAGGGCGACCTGGAGCCTGAACTCGCCGGCGACCTCACCGGCGTTCTTGCTGGTCGAGATGTCGAGGGCGACCTGCCACTCACAGAGCCTGAACTCGCCGGCGTTTTTGCTGACCGGTACTGGTAAGTCGCTTTGGCAAAAAAGTCTCCCAAGGTTCTTGGTGGAGATACCCGAGGGGAGGGCAAAGGCCCGTGCCATGGCGTGCCAACCAATTTTTTGTGAACCAATGACGAGATCACTGACCTTGAAAGCCTGCGATCACTGGATGAAGGAATGTTACCTGATGCCAAGGCACGTTCTGCTCTTGCTAACTGATCCACCGTGAAACCTGCTTCGAGAGCATCCTTGACGAATTCAGGTGTTGAAGGCACGCTCACCTCGTGCACTGGATCTTCATCGTCGGAGTCGTCGGTATCCTCCGGCTGTGCCCAGAATCTTGACGCAATCACCTGCGCTGGTGAAGATGGATTGCCACTGCCTTGTACGCCATGAACGGGCTTTGGACGCAGGGTCGCGTCCACGGCCATCGCTCTCTTTGTTAAACTTCTATCCTGAATACATGGAAGCATCATCAGGATGAATTAGACAGAGTATTTGATTAGCCAGAACAAATTTCAAGTCATGCCCTCACCCTGCCATAGAGATGAGCAGTGCCATAAACCACAACATGGAAGTAGCAGAACAAGTGATGTAATTGGCCGCTGGGAAAGATGATGAAGATAACATAGCACAAAGGACTATTCAATGTAATGTGGCATAAAAAATTCGGTGATAATTACACCAGACTATGCTCTGTTGCCCTCCTGAAAACACCTCCCACCCACCAAACTAGCAAACATTTTTCAAGAGCACCGCTGGATGTGATTTGGACAGGACGTGTGTACCAGGGCCCATCAGCTAAGGTACCATTGGCCATTAGAACAGCTTTAGTGGACAGCATAACTTGTCATGGAACTAAAGGCCACATAGTCAGAAGTTGAGAACTTCACGAAAGGCGTATGATTAACCAGCATGTGTATGCTACTTATTTATAAACCTCTGCTGACACCATCTCAGAACATGAATAAAAATGTTCAGAGGATCCACTCGTTTGTTCAACAGTTAATCTGAGTATCTATGCCATTAATTATTGGTATACTCATATATAACTACCAAATGCAATTATTTGTGATGAGTGGGATTAATTAATCGCATAATTAATTCATTCATTTTACTACTACTACTTATATATGCCATTAATTATTGGCATACTGACCACACCCATGAGCAGACCTATCGGACTCGCCAAACAAACCAACAAATTCAACAGTCGGCATCAGCCATGCCATCCAAAGTCCAAGTCAACGTCATCACACATTGGAGAAAAGGCAATAGAATTTTCTTGGCCACTAACAGCGGTACGTTGCAGGCACGAATTTGTTTTACCAATCTCAATGTTCACAGAATGTGCTTCTACTGATCAGATGCATACAGATGTTGCATCATTTTCTTCCATGCAAATTTTACATGTGGAATAATAATTTCAGCAACTTGTTCATCAAATACATGCCTTTTTCTTCACTAATCTTTTGATCAAGACATTTACAAAGCAACAAAAATATGTTTTTAGGTATAGCACACTTTTCTAGAACAGAGCGTGAGCAGATAATCTCTATCGATTTTTTCTTTTCAAGTCATTCAAGTTCACAATAGTCATGCAATTTTTGCTTGGTCAAGGATCAATGGATTGGACTTTGCAACGAGTCAACTTCTTCTTTTCACGAACACAAATTGAGCTTTAAACTCAAATACAGAGTTCATTTAATTTACAAAGGTAAAGTACAGTTTTTTAACTGAACACTCCATTGATTGTTATTATTGATCATGTTCAAGCATAGAGAGAGGTTACATTACAGACATGAATAGCGATAACATCACGAACTTGTTCAACAATGGCTATCAAAGCTTTCATTTTCTTCTTACTGAAGTTTCCAAAAAAAATCCATACTTTCTTTTTATTTTTCTTTGAAATTCCCTACTTTCTTCTCAGTTTCCTTCATCTCAAATTTCTATCTCAACAATGTTGTCACATCTCAAATTTCTATTGAACAGTGTTGCCCCTAACTGTAGTCTATATAAAGTTGGAACACTAGTAGTCTCAACTGTAAACTCATCTATATAGCTATCAATCTCAATGTTCACGGAAGTATTTCTTCTGATTAGATGCATACAAATGTTGTTTCATGTTCATCCATGCAGTGCTAATCAGATGCATACTAATGGCATGATGAGGAATTACTTGCTCAGAATAGTTCCGTCAAATGCATGCCTAGTTTCTTCACATATTATTTCAGGCACGAAGCAACAGAAACTTGTTTCAGGATACTTCACACGTTTCTGGCCTTGAGCTTGAAACAGATAGTCTCAATGGGTCTTTTTCTCAATCATTTGAGGTTGTGATTGTTCATGCAATTGAGGCTTCAATGGGGTCCATGGTATTTGTCGTCTGGAATTAATTCATTTCCACAATTCTATAAGTCATCCTCCATTTTTTCATGAACACAAAAGGTATATTCAACTTTGAACTCAATTACAGATCCATTTGTGATCCAACAGGTCACTGGATATTTGAAAATGTAATACAACATTTTTGGAAAAATAAACAGGATATAAAGTGATGAACTTATTCTCCATCTTTCCTATACACTATGATAACCCACCTAATTAACTAACTTTTGAACTAGTATTTATCAAACATGAAAATTTCTTGTGTAGCTGGTACCTAACCTACAGATGCCAACACTAGAAACCAGTTATCCATCAACTCAGGAAACTGCTGTTTACCCCAGCCCTGTACAGCTGCATGGACCTGGGGGACGAAGTGTAGAGCTTGACCTTGGTGTGAGCCGGCACAAAGAAAACGTCACCTTCCTTTGCCTTTGCGCTGTCAGTCATGAAGCCTGCCTGGATTTCTCCTTCTCCTGTCATGACGATGAATATGGATGGACCAGGCACCGGAGACATGGTGACTGATTTGCCAGGAGGTAGCAAGTAGCGGTCAACTTCAAATTCGTCAGTTGATTGGGCGTAACGAGTCACATAAGGCTGTACAGGCATTCCTTGCTTAATTTCCGGGAAGGACTGCATGTAGAAAATCAAAACCTTATGACCTCTGTGGCAACATGTTTCAGGGAAGATATGTAAGTTACATGCGAAAGCAACATAATTCATTAGACTATCTTAACTAAGACTGATTGTAATCAAACTCCACATGTTTTGAGCAATCGCATTTACTCATCAAATGATCAATAATGGGGGATTATGAGCTTGTAGTGATAATAAATGGAGAATGTAACAAATGGAAGGAGTAAAACAACTGACCTGATTATAAGTCAACATCGAGCAGAGAGTTTGCGCATCTCTGTATTTCGGAGTTAGACCTGCACGGTTGTCTAAAGTGGCCATACATTCGATGCACTCCCTGGGAGATATGCATGAGGTTCGTTGGCACTAACATAAAGTGCTTCACCAGGATTGAGCTTAACAAAATTTAGGAAGAACGCTGCCAGAACACCAACATCTCCTGGGTACTGCTTCTCCAATGACAAAACAAGTTGCTCCTTCTTTGCTAAACTTAGCCTGAATACATGGAAGCATCATCGGGATGAATTAGACAGTAGTATTAGATTAGCCAGAACAAATTTCATGAATTATTTCTTCAAACATTATATTTCTCTCCACTTTATATAAATCATGCCCTCACCCTGCATTAGAGATGAGCAGTGCCATAAACTACAAATGGAAGTAGCAGAACAAATGATGTAATTAACCCCTGGGAAAGATGATAAAGACAACATAGCACAAAGGACTATTCAATGGAATGTGGCGTAGAAAAATCGATGATAATTACACCAGACTAGCAACCATTTTTCAAGAGCACGGCTGGATGTGATTTGGACAGGGTATATCCGGAACACTAGAACAGCTTTATTGGATAGCATAACTTGTCGGGGAACTAAAGGCCACATCGTCAGAAGTTGAGAACCTCACGAAAGACGTGCAATTAACTAGCATGTGCATGCTACTTGTTTATAAACCTCTGCTGACACTAGCTCAGAACAAGAATAAAAATGTTCAGAGGATCCAATCGTTCGTTCAGCAGTTAATCTGAGTATCTATGCCATTAATTACTGGTATATTCCTTTATAACTACCAAATGCTATTATTGTGATGATTCGGATTAATTAATTGCATAACTAATTCATTCATTTTACTACTACTGCTACTTATATATGCCATTAATTATTGGCATACTGAAACTGACCACACCCATGAGCAGACCCATCGGACTCACCAAACAAACCAACAAATTCAACAGCATTAGCCAATGCCATCCAAAGTCCAAGTCAACGTCACCACACATTGGAGAAAATGCAATAGAATTTTCTTGGCCATTAACAGAGGTACGTTGGGTGTGCCAATTTGTTTTATATATAGCTACCAATCTCAACGTTCACAAAATGTGCTTCTGCTGATCAGATGCATACAGATGTTGCATCATTTTCTTCCATTCAAATTTTACATGTGGAATAATAATTTCAGCAATTTGTTCTTCAAATACATGCCTTTTTTCTTCACGTATGTTTTGATCAAGACATTTACAAGGCAACAGAAATATGTTTTTAGGTACAGGTGTACAGCACACTTTTATAGAACAGAGGGTGAAACAGAGAATCTCAATCTTTTTTTCTTTTTAAGTTATTCAATTTACAGAATGAGTCGTGCAATTGATGCTGCATAAGATCAGAGAATCGGACTTCGCAACAAGTCAATTTCACTCAAGTACCACTCATTTAATTTGTAAAGGTAAAATACAGTTTTTACTGAACACCCCATTGATTGTTGTCATTGATCAAGTTCAAGCTCAAGCTCAGAGAGAAAGGTTACATTACAAGAACACCGGCAATTTGAAAATAAGCAACACTATGACTCAAGCAGACATGAATAGTGATAACATCACGAACTTGCTAAACAATGGTCGTCAAAGCATCAGCAACAAAAACCCTTTACTTTAAGGCACAGCTTCCTCAGAAACTCTCTACTTTCTTTTTAGTTTTCTTTGGAATTACCTACTTTCTTCTCAGTTTCCTTCAACTTCTCAAATTTCTATCTGAACAATGTTGTCACTAATTGTTTCTCAGCCTCAACATCTCAAATTTCTATCTGAACAATTTTGTCCCTAAAGTTGGAACACTATAGGTCTATATAAAGTTGGAACACTACAGGTCTCAATTGTAAACTCTTCTATATAGCTATCAATCTCAATGTTCACAGAATGTATTTCTTCTAATCAGATGCATACAAATGTTGTTTCATGTTCATCCATTCAGTGCTTATCAGATGCATACAAATGATGTTTCATGCTCATCTTTGTAGACTAGGCATGCTGAGGAATAACTTAACAATTAGTTTATCAAATGCATACCAAGTTTCTTCACCTATTTCAGGTACGAAGCAACAGGAATTTGTTTCAGGATACATCACACCTTTCTAGCCTTGAGCTTCAAACAGAGTCTCAATGGGTCTTTTTCTCGATCATTCAAGGCCGTGACTGCTCATGGAATTGAGGCTTTAATGGGGTCCATGGTATTTGCCATCTAGAATTAATTCATTTCTACACTTCTATAAGCCAACATACATTTTTTTCACGGACACAAAAGGTATATTCAACTTTGAACTCAATTACATATCCATTTGTGATCCCAGCAGGTCACTGGATATTTGAAAATGTAATACAACATTTTAGAAAAATAAAAATGATATGAAGTGAACTTATTCTCCATCTTTCCTATACACTATGATAACCCACCTAATTAACTAACTTTTGAACAAGTGTAGAACATGAAAATTTCTTGTGTAGCTGGTACCTAACCTACAGATGCCAACCCTAGAAACCAGTTATCCATCAACTCAGGAAACTGCTGTTTACCCCAGCCCTGTACAGCTGCATGGACCTGGGGGACGAAGTGTAGAGCTTGACCTTGGTGTGAGCCGGCACAAAGAAAACGTCACCTTCCTTTGCCTTTGCGCTGTCAGTCATGAAGCCTGCCTGGATTTCTCCTTCTCCTGTCATGACGATGAATATGGATGGACCAGGCACCGGAGACATGGTGACTGATTTGCCAGGAGGTAGCAAGTAGCGGTCAACTTCAAATTCGTCAGTTGATGGGGTGTAACGAGTCACATAAGGCTGTACAGGCATTCCTTGCAAAATTTCTGGGAAGGCCTGCATGTAGAAAATAAAAACCTTATTACCTCTGCAGCAACATGTTTCAGGGAAGATATGTAAGTTACATGCGAAAGAAACATCATTCATTAGACTATCTTAACTAAGACTGATTGTAATCAAACTCCCCATGTTTTGAGCAATCACATTTCACCATCAACAATAATGGGGGATTATAAGCTGGTAGTGATAACAAATGGAGAATGTAAACAAATGGAGGGAGTAAAACAACTGACCTGATTATAAGTCAACATCGAGCAGAGAGTTTGCACATCTCTGTATTTCGGAGTTAGACCTGCACGGACAACGTTGTCTGAAGTGGCCATACATTCGATGCACTCCCCTGAGAGATATGCATGAGGTTCGTTGGCACTAACATAAAGTGCTTCACCCGGATTTAGCTTAACAAAATTTAGGAAGAACGCTGCCAGCACACCAACATCTCCTGGGTACTGCTTCTCCAATGACAAAACAAGTTGCTCCTTCTGTGTTAAACTTCTAGCCTGAATACATGGAAGCATCATCAGGATGAATTAGACAGAGTATTAGATTAGCCATAACAAATTTCATGAATTATTTCTTCAAACAAACATTATATTTCTCTCCACTTTATATAAGTCATGCCCTCACCCTGCCTTACAGATGAGCAGTGCCATAAACAACAAGATGGAAGTAGCAGAACAGATGATGTAATTGACCCCTGGTAAAGAGGATGAAGATAACATAGCACAAAGGACTATTCTACCTCCACAGGCTTCTCATTTCTGTAGTTATTTCATATATGTAATGGAAAAAATTCATAAGAGATATCTAGAAGATGTCCTCAAAAGCAGGCAAGGATGGATGAAAAGGCTAATAATATTCCACAATTTGTATTGATTCCATGTTTTTCAAGAATACTTGGGACTTCCATTAGTTTTATGTTCAGAACTACAAGCAACAAATTGTTTCATTCGCACCACTAAATGACTATATATTCAGTAAGCATAAATATTACTTTGTTGGCTACGTTCAACCATATTTGCTTATATAGCTAAAAAAATCTTTCAACCCCCTAAGAATGTAAAAAAGATATAAACTGGATCAAAGTAGAGCACCACAGCAGGAAAATCACTGCCATCAATCTCAGGGATTACACAAGTAACTCAGATGACATAATACGGATACAGCAAGAATTGTTCAGAAAAGATCTTTACCTTGCTCTCACTGTTCAAGCGAGTCCTAAGGTTTGCAATTGCTTCAGAAACTGCTTCGTCACTCGCTGTCATTAACTTGGTGAAAGCTGATTTCAGATACGACCTCACACCAATCCCCCCATCTTGCTCTTTGACACCCAAAAGCTTCCGAGATTCTTCTTTGCCAACTAATTCCTGAACCTCGGGTACAGTCCTCAATACTTCCTTGAGCTCCTGGACATCAGTATAAATAAGTCAGTAACTAATATGCATAGCTCACACTGATGATCTGCTGAAAATTTGAATGTCTTGAACACTTCGTATTCCCTTCTGGATGGAATGCAATGGATTCAAACAACAGAATTCACAGCTATCAAAAAGAGATAATATGACGATCATGTAAACCGAATATCTCCCAGAATATAGTATGCAGTAACCACTTCACTGTCCCTTACTGCCTAACCTATTATTAGTCGGAAAAAAAGGAACATCTTCAAAATATCTCAAGGATCAATCTGAACTTGGTGATCTAATTTGTTCATTATGGAATGTGTCATAGAAAAGTCAGTGATAATGACACCACACTATGCTCTTTTGCCATCCTGCAAACGCCTCCCACCCACCAAACTAGCAAGCACTTTTCATGAGCACCGCTGGATGTGATGTGGACAGGAGCTGTGTATCACGACCCACCAGCTAAGATACCATTGGCCACGGGGTATGACATGTGTATCTAGAACGGCTTTAGTGGACAGTATGACTTGTCGTGGAACTAAGGCCACACAGTCAGAAGCTCAAAACCTCACGAAAGGCGTGCGATTAACCAGCATGTGCATACTAACTTGTTTATAAACCTCTACTGACAGACTGCCATTAACTCAGAACAAGAATAAAAATGTTCAGAGGATCCAATCGATTGTTCTATGCCATTAATTACTGGTATATCTTACTACCAAATTCAATTGCCTGTCAAGAATGCGATTAATTATTCACATAATTGATTAATTCATTTACTACTTATGAATGCGATTAAGTATTGGCATAATGACCAAACCCATGAGCAGCTAGCAGCAGCCGAGGAGATCCCACCCCACCTGACCGTCAGTCAACTCCACCCACCTAACTATCCGGAATCATCTGCGGGATCCTGCTGCCACGTTCGATTAAAGAACGCAACTAAGCCAAACGAACCAACCAATTTAGCAGCCGGTGGCATCAGCTGATGCCATCCAAAGCTCCAAGTCAACGTCACCGCGGATTGGTTGGGAACCAAAAAAAATGAAATTTTCTGGGCCGTTAACCAGCGGCACGTCGCGCGGGGGCACAACGGCCGTCGTCGTCGTCGTCGTGGCGACCGTAAGTGGGTACAACGTACCTGTGTGGCGGCGAAGCCGCAGAGCGCGTGGAACTCGGTGACGGCGACGGCCATCTCGGGCTTGTGGTTGGCGTCGCGGTACGTGGCCGGGCGCAGCGCGTGCAGCGCCGCGGCGAGCTCCCGGTCCGGGTGCGCCTGGATCGACAGCGCCTTCGCCACCGACAGCACCTGCGAAGGAGACGGAGCGGTCAGCGCGCGGACAGGTAAAAAAAAGTTGGGACACGGGAGAAGGAAGGGGAATTGCGGAGGCGACGTCACGGACCTTGAAGAGGAAGGGAAGGTCGCCGCCCCATCGCGCGGCGACGTCGCGGCCGAGCGCGGCGGGGTTACGCGCGACCCAGTCGCGGAGCGAGACGTCGGGCGCGAGCGAGGATGGCGCGGCCGGGTGCGTGCCCATCCAGAGCTCGGCGCAGGGCCGTCCTCCGTCCTCGCCGCCCTCGCCGGCGAGGCGCGCGACGAGGGAGTCGGCGCCGCGGCGGCCCCACTCGTAGTGCTGCACGGCGCAGCACAGCGGGAGGAGCCCCGGGACGGCCTGGTGGTGGTCGTCCGCGGCGGCGTCGGTGGGCGCGACGCGGAGGCCCAGCCGCTCCAGCATCGCGGCCGCGGGGGCGAGCGAGGCCGTGGACGACGCCATTCCGTTCTTCCGCGCGGACGGAGGGCCCGAGGGGAGGGAGGGGTGGGGCGAGGAGAGAGTCTAAGGGATGGCGGCGGGCGGCGGTTGTATGTACGATGTACCAGTCTACCAGAGGAGGGAATGTGGAGTGGGTTGGGAGCGGTTGGGTTTTATGGCGGGTGGGGGAGGAGGAGGAGGAGGTGGTGGCGACGGCGAACGGCGAGAGAGCGAGAAGAGGAGGGGAGGCAGACAAACAGGGGGGGAGGAGGTTGGGTCACCGGCTCGCTCATCGCGCGGAAGAGCGGTCGGTTAGCCGGTTATGCGTAGCGCGGTTGTGGGCCCGGGTCGTTGGCCTTTTTTTCCTTTTTCCCTTTTTCCCGTGTAGAGTTAGACAGGAGCAGTAACTACTGGTTCTGTATTTTTCTCTATTATTATTTTTTTCGTTCCATTTTCCTGTTTTTTTTTTTGTCATCATCAGACGGCGACAATGTTGTGGTCGTATTTGCAGCCGAATAACTAGTGACAAAGATGTACGATACGTGTATACGTACAGAACCCATCATAGTCGTTCGAGTCAAGTCGCCGGTGGTATCCAGTCCACCATTTTTTCTTTTTTTTTTAAGTGTGGACAACCGGTGCTTTTATTAATAGGGAAACTCGGGGTTCATATATATTCAATTCACAAGCTAGAGAATTTTTGACAAAATTACACGCATGACTAGGATCCAATTGCTAAAATACATTGCTTTTAGCTTTTTCGTGCAGGGAATATCCATTTCGGGTCGCTTTTGGGACCGTGCTATGTACATCATATAGATTTTGTGCATTTAAGAGGAGGAGTAGAATAATACAACATCGGTCCCAATGCTTAGAAAAATTAGCCATGGGATTCGTGGTTTTAGTATATTGACTGATGAATTTGTGTCTGAAAGTGCTTCTTTTTTTTTGTTATACCGATTTCATTTTGGTACTATGTATGTAGACGCGGAAGTGTGATGTATACGTGCGGCGTGCCTTGCGGCCAAGACAACGCATGGCCGACAGTCGATTCGCTCGGCCGCGCCGTACCGTACGTGGAGCAAAAACGAGATGAGAGATGGCAGGTGCGCATGCCCGACCTTGGCAGCGCCACGTGCCCACGTGCCTCCCGGCCGGTCCCACCCACCACGCGATCCCAGGAAGCGACGCCACGTCCCTCTCCCTGCTGGCCGCCTCGCAAGGGCGGAGGCTCCCCGACGGCCGGACGCCAGACGGCGGCGTGGCCGTGCCTGGGCCGAGCGGCGACAGGGCCGCGTGGCGTCGGGGCACGCTGCTGCGTAGTGGAGACGTCGGAGCGGCAGAACGTGGACCCGTTCCGATCCCAACGACCGAGGGAATGCGCCAGCGCCACCTTCCTGTTCGCTGGCTCGTAAAGATTATAAGTTAAAACTTTATTTTTCTCTCCTATCAAACCCGCTACGGCCTGTCGAACAGGCTCGGCAGCTCAACGCCATGTGGACCCGTTCCGATCCCAGGAACCGACACATCCCTCTCCTCACCCTGGCCCCCTCTCCCCACGCCGCCGCGCAAACGTGGCCATGCCTGGGCCGAGCGACAGGGGCGAGGGGCGATCCAGATCGCATCCTGCGGGTCCGGGTCCTGGCACAGTGGCACCTCCCAGCTCTTCTACTCCACGCCCGGTGAAGCTCACCGCGTGAAAAGAACGTGCCGTGCGTGCCACTGCCAGAGTGCCAGCAGTTGATAGATTTGACTCCAGCTACGCGACATCCGCAACTGTTTATTTCAAGGGTTCGGATCTCGATCGGTACATTATTGTTTCAAAAATCAATCAATTATACTACTGACTAAATCCATTCCAAATTATAGTTCATTTAACTTTTTTTATTCTAAATCTGACCACTCGTCTTATCCAAAAACTTGTGCTAAATATCATTTCTTCTGTTGTGGGTTGCTTTATTAACAATAGTTCTTTAAGAATGACTTACAGCCTGTTCGGCTAGGGCTGAAACGATCGTATACGATCGTGGATTATTACTGCTGGCTGGTTTGGTGTAAGAGAAAAATATTATTCTGGCTGAAAATTTACAATCGTTTACGACCAAGCGAACAGGGTTAAATTTGACTATGTTTACATAAATTCTTTAAGTAAGACTAACGGTTAAATTTGGGGTCAAAAAATCAAACGAATTATAATTTAGAAGGGAGGAAGTATATATCAATATTAGTGGGGACCTGCGAGGCTACATCTGCGGCCATAATACGTACTGTACTCTTCCCGTCCAGTAAAGGATTAGTACAAGTCAAACCGGTGTTAAGTTTGATACAATGAATATTATTGTTTATATATATATCTTCACCTAGAGTTTCTACGAAAATAGATTTTATAATTAATTTGATTACACTATCTTATGTCGTAAGTGTAATATTCTTTTTATAATTTTGGTTGAAAAATGAGATCAGGTATGCATCCTATGTTTTGCATTGCATTGTAATGTAACATATAATCTTCAGGTCGGTCATCAGTTTTAGAATGGCACGCCCTCGGACAGTGAGGCTTTGTTGCTGCTGATACTGTCTTACTGTGGAGATTGACGGTTTATCGGAGGGTCTAGCGTCCGGACGTCTACGGCAGCTGCTTGTCCATTTTTAATAATGATACCCTCAGGCGTCTATGAATGCAGTCTCGTGCTTCGCGCCTGCTGCCCACGCTATGGATGTAGCTTCGTGCTCCGCGCCTGCTGCCACGTATATGGATACAGCTTCGTGCTCCGTGCCTACTTCGCTTTCCACGTGCACGTAGTCCCTAGGGGCCACCTTCACCTGCGCCCCTTGCCGCGCCTGCTCATGAAACACTTGCAACATAAAAGCATTTGCTGCAACATACATTTAAAACAGATGAAACATTTACAACATACGTTTGCAACCTAATCACCTTGTTCGCTTATGCTAAAATTTGGCTTATGCTGATGCTGAAATGTTGTGAGAGGAAAACACTATTCCATGGCTGAAAAGTAGCTCAAGCAACATAATATGTGTATGAGCACTGCAACATATGCATCATCAAGATAAAACACTTGCAACATACGTTTGAAACAACTGAAATATTTGAAACATACACTTGCAACATACGTGTATAGCCAATGCAACATATGCAACATCCAGATAAAACACTTGCAACATACATTTGAATCAGCTGAAACATAAACTTTGCAATATACGTGTATAGTCATTGCAAATATGCAACACCAAATCTACTTTTGTAACATTCAGATGAAACATATGCAACATACATCTAAAACACATGAAACATACGGTTGCAACATGTGCTCATCTATTTGCGTCCACCCAATGGATGTTCGTTGACGCGGAGCTTGACACCGGCATGAAGCTCGATGCCACGGTGTGGAGGTTGGACCTCGACTGTGCGCAGCGCGAGTCCAGGCGGGAGGCGCGAGGTGTAAGCAACGTGCGACGCGGGTGACACGAGGTGAGAGTAGCGCGAGGCGTACAGGTGGGGCGTGCAAAGCGCAGGGCAGGCGGGTCCGTCCCGTTCGGCCGGCGGAACGCTCAGTAGAGAGCCTTAGCTTTGATTTATAGGCCTTGGGCTGCTAGGCAAGCGGTTCTATCAACAACACATAAGGTGTTTTGTTTGACAAATGAACTAGTACATCTTTTCAATTCACTTTTTTATTTAATTTATGGAATGAATTCATTCATTACCATCTAATTTTTCACCAGCTAAGCTAATAATTATTACTAATATGAGAAACTAAGTCATTCCACAAAATTTAACGAAGACGCATGATGCATCACCTCATCTTGAATCAAATTATTCCTCAAACCAAAACACCCTATTAAGGTTCCACAATAAACATTGGATTCAACTGCAGGTTTCAATTTCCATACACCACATCGTCCACATCTATCAAAATAAGCTAGTGATACGTCCACCATATATAGAAAATAAATGGTAGTATTATGAAAGACTGTACATCACAGTACACAACAGTTAATATTCATGCTGCAATAAGGAGGAGAAAAGCTGCAACAACAATGAATTTACATTAAATTCCGTATTCTTGGATTACACTCGGTCTAATACAAAGTACAGAAATTCAGGTGCAACGAATTGTGGGCGACACTGGCACCCAAATTGGCCACGGGAGGCAGAAGCCCAGGCTTAACCTTTGCGAGTCATCAACAACAAACGAACCAGACAAGTACGGTCAGTAGTTGTGAGCAACTACTGGGGTTGTGTTGTTAGCCCCCCTATTGCTGTTGCTGCGGCACTGGCTCGTGCTGTGGGGTGGCGGGGGAGTCTGGAGCGATGGTGAACTGGAGGGCGCGGCCCCTGGCCGACTGTAGGATGAAGGCCACCTCTGCTGCCGCCAGTGCAGCCTCTTCCTGCAGACAAAGGAACAAGAAGCATGGATAACTTAGATGGTGTGCCATATCAGCGACAAAAGTTTAGGACCAGTAGCTATAGAATGGTTTATCTAACCACCAACAGTTCAATGCTATGTTGAGCTTCCTATGCCAAAGAAATATTTGTTTGCAATTGGTTGAAAAGGATGCATATATAATATATTATTATAATGATGATTTGGAACAAACTTTTTCATGACCAACAGATCTCTTCAAAATTGCATCAAATCAGGTACCTGTCTTTGCCGCCGGCGATGCAAAATACTGAATATCCATGCCATGATGTAGCACGGCAGCAGAAACCCAGCAGCTCGGAGCAGAAAAAGCTGCAAAGGATTGAGTCAGCACAAAGCACTATCCGGACCGCCAACATTCCAAGTAAAAATGAAAGACTACAACACTCACCGAGAACATGGTAGAAGCATCATCATCATTTCCTTCGTTGTCTGAGATAGACAATGCATGCCTTAGAAGCAACAGCGCCATTAACTGCAAGACCAAGTAGGATTTTAAGGTAGTCTACCTTGATATACTCGAAATCTGTTACTTGACATTCGGTAAATACTCGAGGAGAGCTAAGGTGATCAGACTAGGAGCAGAGCGGAAGAGGACTTGCTGTGAAAATCAACAACAATTTTCGTATTCTCTAAGCAATTAACCAAACTAAAAGCACTGTTTTTCCATCCACAAACAAGTTGTGACTTGTGAGGCAACCGTAAAATATATAAAAGCATTGTCCTTCAATCCAAAAACAAAACTGTCCTGAAATAGCTACTCCCTCCATTCCAAATTGCAAATGGTTTTAGCTTTTTTAGATAACACAATTTTTACCATGTATATCTAGATGCATAGCAAGAGCTATGTACCCAGGAAAGCCAAAACTACTTACAATGTGGGACGGAAGGAGTAATATTCACACATCGGTTCAGCTAATAAAGGGCAATAAGATCATGAATTGATGGACAGTGCTTACAATAAGTGCAGCTGAACGGCAGAATGCAGCACCACTAGCATCTGTATTAGCATAACCATCATACTCTGCCTCAAGAAGACGACGTTGGGCAGCTGCTACAGCGAGAATTCTTGGGTCACGCAAATCCATAATCAAATCACCGCTGAAAAGTGATGACTTCTGCTTAGATATGTTCTAATTCTGTTCACTCAAATTAAAATGGCACAAAATGTCCAAAATAACTTACTCAATGTCTATGGTTGTCTCATCTGGCTGAACACGAGGGGGCGCAGTGTAACCAGGCTTGTATTCCTACAGGTTATCATCAAGCCTGGAAGGAATCAGTATACAAGAAAGGAAACTTTAAAATGCACATAGGGAAGGGCCAAAGCATGTTCTACAAGTCTAACACACTGGAAAATTTAGAATTTTCAATAACAGTACAACAACAACAACAACAACAACAAAGCCTTTAAGTCCCAAACAAGTTGGGGTAGGCTAGAGTTGAAACCCAGCAGAAGCAATCAAGGTTCAGGCACGTGAATAGCTATTTTCCAAGCACTCCTATCTAAAGCTAAGTCTTTGGGACATACAAATCCTTGAATATTTTTATTATCTCAGAGGTTGTTAACCACAAAAGTGTGCATGTGTGTTGTGGGGAAATGGCTGAAAATAGCTAGAATCAATAGAAGCGATTCATACTAGAATAAGAATATTGAACATACAAATCCGTTTAACCAAAATTGGTGAACTAGATAAATAGCATTTAAAACACACACAGACTTATCATATGATTAGTCAGATTCTTAAAACACCATCCAAATTAAATCATTAGTCTAAACCACTAAAGCCTAATCACACATGGTACCAACCCTTCTAGTACAAACCCAGGTAGATAAGCAAACCGCACATGGTGTGACAGCACATGGTCATGGGTCCTGGATCATTTTAGTTCTAGTTGTTTGTAGTGCATGATACTAGTGAGGTGATCATGAGAACAACCCTTCAAGTAAAGAAACATGGGCAAAAAGATTACAGAGATATATATATATCAACATATGTACTAAGCCAATTTTGTATCAGCACTAAAATAACTATAACCAAAATGAAACATGTACCAGTGGAATGAACCCGAAAACAACTTAACCGACCTCATGGCAAATTTCACAAGTAGTGTCTCCTTTCTCATTGCACCAGCGTTGCACGCAAGCTCTGTGAGCATACTGCACAAGAAAAGTAAAGCTATAAGTTCTTGATTGCATCAGAGTTTCACGCAAAAGAAAATATTTAACTATATCACTCAGCACGAATAGAAAGAAAAAAACTTTTAGATCACAAAAAGGTATAAAATAAATCCCAAGATCTTTTTTTCTAGGTAAAATTATATAAAAGAATACAAAGTTCTACATTGACAATATTTGAACGCTTTCTATATTTGTCGTAGAAGTTGAAAAATGTCCATGAATAAATCATTAATAAAAAATGAGCAAAGTGACTAAATACAAAGAACATGAAAAATTGCAGTGAGGATAGTCAGTCCAGAAGTCGTTAATTACTATGCTCTATCCAAAGAACAGTCCAGACTCCAGATCGCAAATTCATATTGATTATGATAAACTTAAACTGATAGACCATAAAATTCAGCCAGCTACTGCTACAAGACTGAACTGGAATCATTGTGTTGCAATTGTGTAGTGATAACATGCCTAATTGCATAACATGGATCCACAGTAGCTGAATCAACTGGTTCATTCCTGTTAGCAATGTGGTAGAAATGTCGTGCAAGTTTATACTACATAGAAAACTTGCTAAAGTGAATAAATGCTTTGGAGCTCTCCCAACAGAGAGGACATAAACAGGCAATATTACAGGATATGGTGCCAGTAGCGATTGGGGATAGATGATTTGATTAACCTTGTATATTCCCACAAGAGTGTCTGACATTATGAAAGGCACAATATGATTATTTTGTGCTTTTTAAGCAAGAAAACATGTCAATGGCAATGACAGACACATGTTAATGCAGAATGAGAACCAGAAAGCGAAAACTTAGTTGTATGTGCACCTCACAAACAACTGCAAAGCTTAAAGCTGTACAGAGATAAGAATAGCATGCAATAATTTAATTAACAGGATGTAAACCTTGACGCTGCCACTGCAAGCACAGGGTTTCTCGAGATTCTTGACGCTATCTTCATCCTGGCATATGCGGCACTCTGCAGCCTGGATGAGAGGCTCCTCCTCCCCACCGCCCTCCTCCTCCTCGTCCTGGACCAAGTCAACAACAGCTGACGGAGATGCAGCAGCCGCCGCCGGGCCGTTCGCATCCTCAGACGGCTTCTTGGAAACCTCGTTCTCCTTGGATTTCGCTAAGCCGTCCACATCAACCACCACATGGTCGTCGCCGGCCATCCCAAATCCCCTCCTCTGCAGCCCTTGTTATCGCCTCTGCTCTCAGAAATCGGTCTCCTAAAAGGAAAATATGTTTAGCAACGGTAAGAATAATGAAATTCAGATGTTAGTATTACTCAATAATAAACGTGATGGTAGTGTGGTTGAGAATAGCATCGACATATGTAAAGATGCAATACAGGGCAGTGCTGGTGACCCGTGCCTAAAAATGGAGAGCCTCCATTTCGAAGAGCACGGTAGCAGCAGAACCCCTTATCCCTCCCCGTTTACTGAAACTGGACTACTACTGGAGTCGAGAGCCGACTCTCCGAACCCTAGCAACATCCCCGCCTCCAAGTCCGTAGCTTCCCTGAGCCCAAGCGGAAACTGGACCTCTACAGGCGAATCCCACGATGCGGCGCGCCCGGCCCGAGCCGGCGGGCGGCGAGAACGAGGCGAACCCCGCCCATCCCCACGCGAGAACAGGCGGCAGCGAGAGAGGACCTGAAGGGGACGACGCGCCACGCCCCCGCGCCCCCCCCCCCCCCACGCGCGCGCGGGCGTGGAACCACCGCCGCCACCCAGGCGGCGGCGGCGGCGGATCTAGCGACGGGAAAGCGGAGGAGGGAACGGGGACGTACCTCGGCGGCGGCAGCGGCGGTCCTCCCTCCCTCTCTCTCTCCCCACTTCCTTCCGGCCGGGTCGTCGTCGCACGGGCACGGCTTGGAGACTGGAAATTCTGAGCTCTCTTTTTTTTTCGGTTCCTTCTTTCTCCCAACCGATTTCTATTTTTCTTCACCCTCTTCTTGTAGTAGTTGGAGGAGGGTTGGAAAAAAAATAGAGAGGAGAAAGCGTCTGCGCGCAACGGTCAAACGCGACGCGCGTCTTGATTGCAGGCCCTGTGGGCCCGGACGCGTGGAGCCTCCGTCCGGCGCCGGTCGGATCCCGCCCGGCCCGGTCTCCCCTCGCCGTCAGCCAGCCAGGCCGACGGCTTCTAGGCTACCTGCTGTTGACGGCGCGTCATGTTGGGGGCGTCAAGAAGGAACGGGCCGTCATGTTCGGCAGGGCTGAATTGCCTGGCTGGTACCGGGCGCGGGACCAACCAGCCCAGCCAGCCAATTTCAGCCTCAAATGGCGTCAACAAGAACAGTTGCTTTTCAACCAAGGCCCTGTTTAGTTCCACTTTGTTTTGCTAAATTTTTTAAGATTTCCCATCACATCGAATCTTTAGACGCATGCATGAAACATTAAATATAAATAAAAAATAAAACTAATTACACAGTTTAGACGAAATCCACGAGACGAATCTTTTAAGCCTAATTAGACTATGATTGGACACTAATTGCCAAATAACAACGAAAATGCTACAGTGCTCATTTTGCAAAAATTTTTGCATCTAAACTGGGCCCAACTGTGGCTCATGCTGATTTCAAACTTTCAAACTCAAACTACCAGTCATTTCTAGCTCATGCTGATTTACCGTTTAAACCAAGAATTTCAACCAATAATTTACGGTTTGCAACTCAAGCGCCGGAGAGTCAGTGATGTAGGTGACCCAGTCGTTTTTAAGCTCAAGCGCTGGACGGTTGGGGAACAATGAGGCTACATGCCTATCAGGACCGATGTTCAGAAGAATAAGGTCAAATTTGGGGCAATCGTTGATCACTGAGACTCCAACTTTCTGAACCTTGACCAGCTGTCGGATGACAAATTCATAGTCAGTTGCTGCCTCTTCCACCGTTGCATTGTCGTTGATGGAGTAGACATGACCATGAAGAATAGGCACTTGCCGGTCATTCACATGTAACTCATGGTTATTGGTTTACCCAATGGAAATGCTTGGTAATGTGTGGTAATAAACAAAATGAAAGATATACATGATCCACATTAGTAGAGGCAAATGCAGTTAGAAAGGTGGAGAAATAATGCATATTACTTCAACACGACACTAGACATGTTCAGTGGAGCATCACTACTTGTTTATACACTCACTTTTAGCATCCTTCTTCGACAATTGTAAGAAAGAGTCAACTTAATAAGGCCTAAATATGCATATGAACTCATGTGCCTATTTTAACCAATCATTCATCCAGCAACTATCAGTGGCAAAGTGTGATCGAATGAGGATGACAAGCAATTTTCAGTTAAAAAGGTAATCCAAAGTTTCCCAATAACACTTAGAGAAATCAAAAGTCAATATTTATGTATCAACATAATCTAAGTACATTCTAAAATTGAACTTACAAGTGTGTCAGTTTCTTCAGTTCAACAATTTCAGGTGGAAGCACATCTTGAAGCTGATTACACCTCAGATTCCTAAGTTTACAAGAACACCTGATTAGATGAAGAGCAACTACACTCAAATTAGCCATGGACTCAAAGTGCAACAAAGTAGTATTGGTGCAGCAGAGAAGATCAAATTAGCCATGGACCAAATTTGAGGCTTACTTTGAGAGTCATTGAGGGTTCACCGGAGAAGATTACTTGTGCCGTGGATATCATGACGTTTGCAATCGGAAGCACAGCTTGAGACGCACGAAGCACGTCTTCTTCAGTTAACTGGAAGCTTCTCTTATTCTCCACCTGCAGCCTGCCCAATTGCAAACTCATATTACCTCTGGTTCAATCATCCATATGGACAAAAAAATCAAATATGATGAAATCATACCTTTGAGGAACATAATCCTTGAAGAAAGCCAAGCCTAAGTTCATAACGCCGAGGTGACAGAGAGCTAAGATTGGGCTGCAAATCATCACCCAAAGCCAAGTACCAGATTCCAACGAAGAAATATAGGTAAACTCAGTAGTCTAAACAACAGACAGATATATAGGAACCAGCTGCATTACCTCAACTTTCCTAAATTAGACACCACTCCACACAACCATAGATATTAACTCCCTAACTTCGGAGATTGGGGTTCCCCGATTTAGCTCAACCCACTCCGGCAGCTCATACGAAGGTGGATCAGCCCCGTACTTACGCATCCACAAATAATTATCTAAAGCAAAGCATGAAATAATTATCATAGCCTGCTTTATCCTCTTGCAGTACTGCACCCCATTCAAAATCTGCCAACGTTCTTTCAACACCCCAAACCTCCTTTCAATGACATTTCGCAACTTCGCATGAATGTAGTTGAATTTCTCCTCCCTCTGCAACTGCTGCAAATCTACGCCCATAAAATCGTTGATATGATATCTTGTGTTTCTGTAGGGGGTCATGTAACCTGGCATCTCCGTGTAACCCGCGTCCGCCAGGTAGTACCGACCTACAAGAAATGAAAACAGGGGCAACAGAATTTGGGTAAGTCATAGAGAACAGAAACATATCAGTATTGCTTTATTGAGAATTCATATATGTTGTATTGTCATATTGAAAAATCAAATTGCAAATTGTTTAAGGAGACAATATATAGGCATCAGCTGTCATAGCAAATTGAACAGAATTATGCTTCAATACATCTAGTACAAGCAGAGAATTAAGGAATGTGAACATCAAGCCATCACGAACCTACCGGGGGATGTGGGAACGAACCGTCGCCCTGATAGTCTTTCAAAACCACCATGTCATGACATGCCCCCATCTTCCCGGCCCCCACGTATGTGAAACGGCCATCCATATCCACGATGGCACAAACAATAATTGTTGTTTTACCTTTCCTATTAAAGAAATCAGCCTTTACTTCACGGTTAACCTCAACCTTTATGTGCGTGCCATCTATAGCACCTATGCATCCATCAAACCATGGTGCATATGCAGCAAGTTTGTGGCTTACGCGTGCGTAGTTCCTATCTGCTGGCACTAGAACAGTATTTGCCCACCTATACATGACCTCTGCAACTACTGTAATCTTTCTGCTAACTGTATCTAAAGACCTTTCAAACCTATCTTTGCACTCTCTACTTGCCGATTGGTGGGCACAGGTCTAGATGTACATGCCTAGAGCTTCTACCGAGGTGCACTTATCTATTGATGGCAGGCCAAACGGTAGCAGGGTGTCATGCAAATGCATGAAGGCATCATGCATCATGCGCAAATTGTCTATACATTTGGTTTGGTCAGCAAGGGTAAGCTGCATCCATTGGGCTCCAAATAGCTTAGGAATGGGACAAGGAGGATGTACCTCATGCATTTGCTGTGACATAATACCTTTCAACCTCAGAACGACGACTGCTGCCTTCGGCAAGGTCACAGTGCTTGGTCCATCACTGGACGTGTCGCTGTACGACGACTCGTCAGTGCTGCTCATTATGCTACCTGCAAAAGGACAAAAATTAATAAGATTGTAATGCAGATATTAGGAACAAAACATTTGCTAATAAGTGAACATGTCAAGATACCTGAACTAGGTAGGTGGCACAACCACCTTAGACAAATGTATGTAAGGAATGAACAAGAGAAAAGTGATATATGCATAATGTCTTACAACGCTCACAACACGACACAAATATTTTATTCAAAACACGAGACAACGACATGCACTTAGTTCTCCGCAATGGTGTTTGTTAATACAAAAAAAAACAAAGATAACGAAACAACAAACAGAATCAACTCAACATGCACATGGTGGATAACCGAAAACAGTAGAAAAACCATAGTCCGAAGAAATGTGATGATCACTGGGACTTTGTGGAGCACACAAAGGCCCACGTCACATTGATCCAGTTCAGCCGGCCCTCTTAAGATTTCATATTAAGAAAACCCTGACGACGGAGCCTGTTGTTGCAAAGGTTTAGGGCTTGCACGAATACTATATCAGTCTCGCTGATACCATCTTGCAACGGAATCTCATGGACTTGGGCCAACTCTTGAGCATCTGTGTTATGACGGGCCTTCTAGGACCTAGCCTCCCTGATAAATTGGCCCAGGTCTTCAAGGCACTCTTCTACGGATAGAGTCTGGCTACTCTTCTTGCTGCGAGGACTGTTAACAGAATAATCCCTATGGACTCTCTTCGAGGGTTGATGACCACTATGTGGCAAGACTGGCTCGTCCGACAAGGATGGAGGAGTGTGAGGGA